GCGTAAGTATACTATTCATTGTGAAATGCAAACCAAACTGCGTATAAATGTAGTAACACTGACTAACTTTGAAAAGGTATTGCCACATTGAAAACCACGTCAAATAAAAACCGTTATACCATTTAATTAATTGAGTTGCAGACGTTTTTAGATGAAGCTGAGCATGGCGCCATCTACTTCAGCTTGGGCAGCCAAGTGGAGAGTAAGGATATGCCAGCTGAGAAATTGCGTATCTTCCTCGATGTCTTCTGCGGCTTACAACAGCGTGTGCTGTGGAAGTTCGAGAATGAGAGCATCACAAATTTGCCATCAAATGTTATGGTGAAAAAGTGGTTGCCACAAAGTGATATATTGGCACACCCTAATGTGCGCGCATTCATCATGCATGGCGGTTTACTGGGCACACAGGAGGGTGTGCACTACGCAGTGCCTATGCTCGGCATGCCCTTCTACTGTGATCAGGTAATTTAGTGATAATAATTTTTCGAATTTTTCTGATCTTCAAAATCTATACACAACTCATTTGTAGCACCTCAATTTGAAGAAAGCGGAGCTGGGCGGCTACGCAGTAACAATGGACTTTCACACGCTCACGCATGAGTCACTGAAGGCTGGTCTGCAGCAATTGCTTCACAACAGCACATATCGTGACAACATTAGAAGGATATCAAAAATCTTCCACGATCGTCCAATGGGCGCACGTGAGACTGCGCTCTTTTGGATCGATTACGTCATACGTCACAAGGGCGCTCCACATTTGCGTGCTGCTGGCTTGGACTTGAAGTGGTATCAATTCTATTTGTTGGATGTGGTTGCTCTTTGTTTGGCTGCTTTATTATTAATGCTGAGCATTGCATTTGTATTAGTGCATTGGCTCCTAAGGAGTCTTGGTAGTAAGCAACAAAAACAAAAACTGCAGTAGTTATGTATTTCTAGTAAAATTTAGTATTGAATTATAATAAATATTTATAACTTAAGAAGATCATCCCATGGGATGGGCTCAAAAAATAGATTGCTTTCTTAACATGTAGAATATAGTAGTAAAAGTGATTTTTAAAAATTCGAAGTCGTTTTGAGATACAGAAATTAGAAGAAGGAGCTGTTCAGAGCGGTTTTAAGCGAACTAGAGACATCAAACGCATTTTTCTCAAAACTGTGATTGTCAAACTTTCCTCCATTGTAACTCAAAACCGACTTTACCGCATTACTTGAAATTTGTAGAGTACACTCATAATAAACTTAAAGCTCTATATATTTACTGGTCGTAATAAAAAATCCTAAAAGGCAGGCCGTCACATGTGATGACCCGCTTAAGTTTTGTAAAATGTAAACATGTTTTAGTATATGTTTTGTTAGCATTAAGAATATTTTACCTAAAGAGTAGTTGAAAAAATTATGCGAATTAAAGTAAGCTAGGCTTAAGTCAAAATCGGCGAGTTTTCGGAATTAAAAAAAAAGAAAACTACTATATTAAATGTTTTTAAACTTTACGGATATATTTATACATTGAAGGTAGTCTTTCATGGTCCCAAGGTTGTCCTTTTAATAAGCCCAAAGCGGAGGTAGACTCACGCGTTTATGAGGCAGTGCGTTCAGAGCCAACAAGCGGAAACAAGGAGTCGTCTCAACCTCTACCTACCACACCAACCTAATGATGACGGAGGGGAACGTACTTCGAAGCCTGACAGGGTTTTAACGTCACAGCCTTGGCATTAATCAACAAGTCATTACTGCAGAGTGTCACTCCTACATACCTAGGTGGCAGACCACCCCGGCTACCAGCCCAGATCTCAACCAAATCCAAATATGTCATCCTAAGTGTATGCCGTGTCGATCAGACGCCAATGGTCCGTAGCAGTTCTGCAAAGTCCTGAAGGCCGCAGGTCCAAACATCCTTACATCCTTACATCCAAAGGAATACAAAGTAAAATGGTTGCAAAATAAATTTAAATATGTATCGAGTTATACGCGATCTTCGACGGTGCTTTAAAGGAGAACCTAAAAAACTTAAAATCTTTTTCACTAGAAGTTATCGTCCGTACAATGACCAACGACCGAAAGCAAAAAATCAAAAACTAACAAAATAGCGGAGCTTTATTGCGAACGTTAAATTTTACACAAAATTTTGGTCGTTTTCAGCCTGCCAAAATTCGATGTTGGATCAGATCAAAAAACAGCTAAGTCGTCATTGTATGCAGAAGAGACAAACATTTGATAGCGATCAGAATATTTGTCTCCGAGTTTCGAGATAAACGCATTTAAAAGGCTGTAACTCCAAAAATATTAGAAATATTCATATACAATTTTTGTATGATATCTTTCAAGATATAATCTACTGATATATGCTAAAATAAAAAAATTAAATTTTTTTCGCAATATTACATTATGTGTGCCCCTTAATTTAATACGCACACATGCGAACACTCATTATATGCATGAACTATAATATTGTGTTAACCTAAAAGTATGCAAGTTATTTTTAATTCTAACACAAGCTTGTTTGCGGGTATTCACAACCTACGTAAATTTTTTGCTAGTGGAAAAAAAGAAAGAGCATATGTACGTCATTGTAAAAACTAGGTTCACTGCGTGATTGTTAACATAATAATTACTTATTAAACAAAATATATTACTTATGAAAGCACATTGTACTGAACTATTTTAATTAGTTTATAAGAGCGTTTGGTAACCCTTGTAACATGATCTGGCAACAGAGATAATGTTAAAAACATTTAATAGTGAGTATTTGGAAATTAAATAGCAGTTTTGAGTGTGCACTTCTTTTGTAGATAAACGTCAGTAACTATAACAAAAATAAAATAAAAAGTGCAACAACAATATTAGTAACAACAAAAACAAAATAGTGACTGAAACGGGTTGAGTTGAACTCCCGAATACATCGAAAGCAATTTCTTCTAAGTATGATGATATGCCATTGATGGAAAGCCCTCTTTATAAAACAAAAAATTTACTAATAGTTAGAATGCAATCTTATTTATAGTTACTATAGCGCCGTTATTAATATATCGTGCAACAACAAATTCATTTGAGTTGATTACCTGCATATGGTCCGGCTGCAATTGTGAGAAGTTAAATGGTATTAATACGAGAGCATCCGCTTTGTAAACTGTTAAATATTTTGTACTTTATTAATTTACTATGAGAATTTCTAACGCGCACGCAATCCAAACATAACATTCCCACCCACTTATAGAAGTACCATAAACCCTGCATTTATGCAAATTGCCTATGACAGTCAGTGTCAGAAATTGACACAATTTGACAGCGACCACTTAATTGCTCTTTAAAACGTAATAAATATTTTGTTTGAAATATTACCTAGATGATTTTAGAGAAGTTTATAAAATTTATAATTTTAAAGATACCATCTGGATTCGTACAACTTTTTCCATATTCAGGCTTTAATCTCCATATATCAATTAGTGTGTTATCACGAACACAAGTATATGAGTGGCACAAAGCATTAAGTGAAGGTCGTAAAGTCATCAAAAACTTGCCTCATGCGAGTCGTCCATCCACCGTTGTAATGAACGATAACATCGGAAAGAGTTAAAGAAACAGTGCCTGAAAATCGTATTGTTGGCATCAGAGAAATAGCAAAGGATATCAACAACTTTTGTGGATCGGCTCTTCACAATTTGGTTATTGTTTTGGGTATGAAGTATATTAATACCAAACCCGTACCAAAAAACCTGAATCTGAGGTTCTAAATTAATCAAATACATCATTACTGGGGACAAAACGTGGGTTTACGAATATGATGTCGCAACATTCCAATAATCTAGCGATTGACACTCCAAAAATGAGCCGAAACCGAATAAAACAAAATTCGATGAAGACGCTAAAGTTCGTCCCAGCTGAGGCTTATAAGAAGTGTAAAAGTGTATGGAAAATTGAATTAAACATAGGCATGCTTGTATTGGCTCAAAATAAGCCTTTGTTGAAGGCGATAATAATGATTTGTATTCAATTAGTTGAAAATGTTTTTTTTTTCAAACTTATAAACTTAATCTTGGATCACAGCTAATACGGGGCGTACCGCGGGATTTCTTTTTTTTTTAGAGCAGAGTGAGTGCTGAACTGACTAAAAGGTATATACTCTTGGGAAGGCGAACACTATATAATACCTATGGTCATTATAAAGCAGTTAGTTCTGACTTTGAACTTCCAGAAACTCGAGAAAGTAGAACTGGCGTGGAAGATGATGAAACGTACCAGCATTAACTTCGCAAATGCTCAGTCTTCAGCTCGTTCAAGCGTAATATTATATCTTCCACAACTACCTATTTTCAAATCTAGACGGAAGATGAGAAATTTTGTGGAATCCAGCTATAAGGTTCTAGGTATTATAAACTCCTCATAGGTGGCGCCTGAGTCAAATTATGATCAAAAATTTGTTTTGTTTTGTTTTGTTAATTCATATTCGAAGGATACTTATAAGAGTGTAACAGAATTAGGTCAGACATTTTTAATTTCTTACCATTTATTTATATGGAAGAGTTATCAACCTAACAGAATTCGGAGTTTTACAATAAATTTTTACCAAATTTCGGGATATTCATTTGTCCCATAATCGAGTATTAATATTCAAAATATGGTTAAGTCACGTAAATTAGCGTTCAGATATAAACCACGCATCGATCAAGCATTAAACGAAGAGAGTACCGTAATCGAAACTTTCTAGCATCTATTTTTCAGCGTCAAACAAATGATCTCCAAAATTTTACAAACAGAAAGCTTGGAAAATATGTTAATACGCTTGGTAATATAACACTTTCTTCTTTCTTATAATGCAACTAGGTGTACGATGCACTTTATTTGATTTACTGGACAAGTAATATAGCTATTTTTATAGCAGTTGGCTTCAGCTACTGGGAAGATTTGCGAGAACCGGGCGCTACATAGAGAATAGCATCACATTTTAGAATTGAAAACTCAGCATAAAACGAAGATATTAAGATTGATCGCCGCGTAATAATGTGAGATTGAAGTTGATTTTCGGATCAGTGCAAAGGAATCAGCCGGCGAAGCAACATCATTAACTGTGTGGCGTCTGGCGCTTAAGTTGAGCTGTGGGAAGTTATTATAAAAGCATTTAAATAAATTTGTATCAAAGGAAATTAAAAAACTTCAATATTGTGCTGAAAGAAGAAAGCGTATTAATATGGTAAATGAAAATTATTAAAAAAAAGGTTTAAGACAATTTATAAATTACACAAAAAAAATTATTATATTGTGTTAAAAAAAAATATTAATTTAACTGTCTTTTAAAAATGTGTAAAATTAATTTATGCTATTTTGTGAAAAATTAAAACAATATTTTTTGTTATTTTCTCTCACATTATTACGTGAGAATACGCTAAGCATATTACAAATGATTGCAACAAAATTATGTTACAACACAAAATTTCGTCACACTCGCAGTATGCAAAGTAGCCTCAAAGTTATTGCGGAAATAATTGCTTTTTTTGTTTGATTGCTCAATATATTAACCGGATAGCTTAAAACTAAATAATTCCAAAGGTTGCCACCTGAATGGAAATTTGAAGTATAAAACATTTATATAATAACGCTTACCGAAGTAAAGATGTCTAAGAAAGCTAAAAGTTGAAAAATAAGTTAAAAAGAGTTGCCACATTTTCAAATTATTTGTTATCATAGCTTTAAATTACGGGAAAATTAAATATTACAATACGCACACACAAAATTAAGTTTAATAAAATTTTCAGTTGAAATATAATTTCTTATGCATATTTTTTGAGGGGAGTTGCCAGCTTTTTAAAACATTTAATTCAATAAATAAATTTAATTTTACAAGACGTGCGTGAAATTTAGTGGTTTATGGTTTACAATTTAAAAAACAATTGTAAATATTTTTTTAGGAAAGGTTGCCACTTGCTTAAAAGTTTAATAAATTAAATTTAAAAAAAATTTAAATATTACAAAGAGCATACCAAAAACAAAAATAAAATGGTTTCAGAATTTTGAATAACTTTTAACAATGTTGCCCCTTTTTATAATTTTTTTTTAATCGGTAATAAAATCGGTGAAATAAATTAAATATTACGATAGACTTATGTGACCATATTTTTGTCATCCGGGACGGATTTTTAGTCATCGATTTTTTTCATATTATAATTCACTGAAAATCGCGACATATTATATAATAGGTAAGAGAGCAACTCCGGCACGCTTAACTCGGAATCCGGACTGCGCTGGCCAAACCGGGACAAATGGTCAGCTAACGATAGACATATCACATAAACAGGCATAAAAGCAGCTAGATAATACCATAGATAATAGATTTACTTAAATAAAGCAATCAATCATAAGATCTCTATCCTATAGCTCTTTGGAATAAAAAACTATATACAAATACATCCATATACAGAAAAAGTAAGTGTAAAAAATGTCGTAATTTCTGTCAATGTATACTTATGTAGGTATATACTCATAACAATTTTTTGCCTTATTTGTACTTAATATATATGAAGGTATATCGAGTTTGAACCAGAAAACAATAAACCACACAGAAAACCAAAAAGAGTCTTGACTACGTCTTGCAAAAAAAAAAAAATGAAAATAGTTCGTGGATGCATGTGACACACTTACATTTTAAAATATATTTAATTCTTTCTATTCCTACTTGAACTTAATTTGTTTACAACAATTCTGGAATTGAAAACAACTTATCTGAGGAACACCATTACTGAGCAATTTTTCGTTATATAATATATAATAATATAAAACAATTTGAGTCATACCAACAGTTCGATCAAAATAAATTCCTTGTAGGGAAAACTTTTTTATTTTATTTATTTATATTTATATTTATATTATTTTTACAATATCCGAAGAAATATTTTTTATGCTATAAGAAACTCACCCGTATTATAGCTTCAGGTGCAGCTGAAGCTAACGTTTTTTCTTGTTCATACTTTATATAATGCTATGGTTTAAGTATGATAATAATATTCATCAATTTGTAATATAAAAACATTAAATAAAAAAATTATTCAATGTATGCGGAATAGAAGAAACATATATTTTACTTTACCTATGCATGCTTTTTATGGCAAGTTAAAAGCTTCTGGAGATTGCAAGCACGCCTTAATGTGCAATAGTTTGTAAATATGTATATATTAACCTATACTCAGCATTCGCGTGCTTACTAGAATTTATTATTTGTTTCAAGTACTTTCTTCTACATTGTCTCCATGTGACGTCTTTTTAATTAGTATTCTCAAACTAGCTGACATCTCGTTTCAGTTTTGCAAATCAGATAGCGGGCGACAATACATAGATTAGGGTACCCCTTATTTTCCAAGTTGAGTATTTTTTGAATACACCGCCTGAAGTTTCAGAGACTAAAATATAAAGTTTTCTTTGTACAAGATAAAAATAAAATACCCAAAAGTTTGAATATTTGATTTTTGCACATAAAATATTAAAAGTTGTAGTTCATTTCATTACTTACAACATTGTTATATAACTTTTCTTTATAGGACTTCCAGTTTTCCCATAATTTAAATAAACCCTTTTTAACCTTAACTTAATTTAAAAATTCAACTACGTTTGAAATCTTCAAGGGACGTTTGCAAAAAAAAAATATTCTTACAAAATAATGGACACCCTAATTTACATACACACACAACTACCTGTAAACAAGTTTTGTATATACGTTAAAGCGATGATATAAAATAATCTTCGAATGTTAATTATAGAACAAATTAAAATGAGTTAATCGTATTCATAACAATTGCATGCAACAAAGTATAAGTGTTAAAAATGATGAATGATACCAGATGGAAAATGTTAATTATATGTTGTAGTCCTACTTGAATGCAAATGCAATATAAATTGTTTGTAGCAACACTATGAGAAAAACAGTAAGATCAAAATTTTAGTTTAATTATTTACAGATTTTCATCTAAGAAGTTAGATTCTTACGACTTTTGAGCTGCCAATAAACATTTATAGGGAACTGAACTTTTCATAAGTTATATGAACTATTTATTGCAAAAAATCCATAATTAAACTCATTATAAAAAAAAAGAGTTAAATTAAACCCGATTTGATTGTAAAAACAGAAAAAATTATTCCCTGTGCCTAAAATAGTTATTTTACTCACTCTTATACCTAATTCTGGAGTTATGTATAAAATGTGTCTACGCGCCGAAGTGTAGGCAACACTGGTTGTGATATTTTGAAGCAAATTTAAAAAACGAGTTTCATAGAATAGTTTTAAATATGTCTTTTTCATACAAATATACTATTATCAACAAATATAGTACCCATATCAACAAATTGTAATAAATTTTCTTAAAAAACAATTATTTTTACATTTTTCTAGAATTCCAAAATTTTATTAGGCCTACTGTCACTAGCTGTAGCTATCACATCCACCGCTAATGGCGCCAGAATACTCTCGGTGTATTCCTTTCCCGGCAAAAGTCATTTTATGATGCAAAAAGCTATAATAAAAGAGTTGGTTAGGAATGGACATCAGGTAGGTCCGCCTTCCCGAAAAAATTGTTGTAGAAATTAATTTCACTAATCAAATTTGCTATACCTTATATGTGCATCCATCGACTGCACTGTGCAGGTCACGTTAATCACAGCATTTTCTTTAGCGCCACTCAACTTGGGCAGCAACTACACTGAGATACTTATTGAGCCAGTCTATGATTTCTGGAAGGATGGTGAGTAAAAGGATTTATAGAAATAAACGTTTCTTACTCCTTGAAAATCACAATTTATTTAAAATCTAAATTTGAATTCCTAAAACGTAGAGATACAAACAATTATTTGGATTTCTCTTAGTATATTTTTTGGAAGGTATATTTGTCATATTTTTGTACAATAACTCTGCAAGTCTCCATAATCCCTAGTACCCCACCTTAGAAAATACTAAAATCCAACCGAATGAAGAGAGAGATATTATGCACTTCGGAGTACATCCACGTAGCCATACTACTTGTAGATCTTCTTAAACACATGTGTAGAGCAGAAAGCGTAGTCTGTCTATCACCCGCTCTCTTCCGACGAAAACTCCATGCCGTAACGGTCTAATATTCCACAGCGGTATTCTAGTGTAGTACTATTTATGGATGTACTTAAACAGCGTACTAAAAAACTGAAATTGAACGAAAAATTCTTAATTATATTCTATAATTCCAGTCAAAGAAGATGCTGGCGCACGTAATATCTTCGAGTTCACCACCATGGAGCTAGCTGGTTTCCTGCAGATGTTACAAGTTTTAGGTGTTGCCACCACAGAGCATGCGCTCAAGCAACGCAAAGTGCAGGACATTATTAATGCCAAGCAAACCGAGAATGTCTATGATTTACTGCTTGTCGAGCAGTTCTACCAAGAAGCCTTCCTGGCGCTCAGTCATATTTATAAAATCCCGGTGGTTAGTACCAGCACATTGGGCTATGAGAATCATATGAGTCAAATGTTTGGCATAATATCGCCATGGTCCTATGTACCACATGGTTTTCTACCCTACTCCGACCGCATGAACTTCTGGGAGCGTTTGCAAAACACTTACAACTCACTCTATGAGGATTTGCATCGCGAGTATGTATATTTCCCTTTGATGGACGACTTGGTGGCGAAGTATTTCGGACATTTGCCAAGTGAGTGCGCGTCGGTTACTATTAAAACATAATTTTTTCTAAATTTGAAAAAAAAAAATCTATACAGTTAACTATCCGAAAGTAACTGAGATGGAGAAAAATCTGTCAGCCATGCTATTGAATAGTTTTACACCTTTGACTAGCGCACGTCCCACCATAGATGGCATGGTGCCTGTAGGTGGCATGCATATTTATCCACCCAAAGCTTTGCCAGCGGATATGCAAAACTTCTTGGACGAGGCGGAACACGGCGCCATCTACTTCAGTTTGGGTAAGCACCCTCAAGTTAGATATATATCATAAGTCATTAAATAGCCTAATTTTTCACCGCCACAGGCAGTAATGTGGAGAGCAAGGACATGCCACCGGCCTATTTAAAGATTTTCGTCGACGTTTTTCGCAGTATGAAGTAGCGTGTGCTGTGGAAGTTCGAAAATGAGAGCATCATAAATTTGCCACCAAATGTTATGGTGAAAAAATGGCTGCCACAAAGTGATATACTGGCACACCCTAATGTGCGCGTATTCATCACGCATGGCGGTTTACTGGGCACACAGGAGGGTGTATACCACGCGGTGCCAATGCTCGGCATGCCCTTTTACTGTGATCAACACTTGAACTTGAAAAAGGCCGAACTCTACGGTTTCGCCATCAGCTTGCACTTCCAATCCATCACTTATGATGTACTAAAGTATATACCCCAGCTATCGTGCCAACATCAAACGCATATCGAGCATTTTTCACGATCGGCCGCTGAATGCGCGTGACACCGCCGTCTATTGGATCGAGTATGTGATACGCCACAAGGGTGCTGAGCATTTGCGCGCCGCTGGTCTCGCCTTGAAGTGGTATCAATTCTATTTGCTGGATGTGATAGCTTTTGTTGTTACTGGAATTGTGCTGGCTGTGCTGGTGTTTGTTGGTTTGGTGTGCTTCGTTTTGCGTTGCCGTGGTAATGGAAATAAACAGAAGGAGGAGAAGAAGCAGAAGAGGCAATAGATATACATATGTATATATATATATATATATATATTGTTTTTTTAATTGTAGTAGACATACAAACCAAACTCCATTTTCATTTAATCTTTTATTATATTTATTGCTCTTTTATTATTTTTCAAACTAGTGGGTTACTGTCAAAGTTGGCGAGATGATATAGAGAAGGGATAACCTCAGCATTTCCTTCTTGACTGTCCCATATTTGCAAGAATTTCACTTGAACTCTCACTACTTCAGCTCCACTGGTATCGGGAATTGTTACTTTGGTGAATTAATGATGTCGCGGATTGTGATGCCGGTTTTGAAAGATTTTTTTACAGGTTTTGGTTTTGACGTCGGTGACATTTGAGGTTATACGGAAAGGGTGGGGCCTAATTATCAATAATTCTATGTCATTCTCATTGTGCGGCAATCTTCTTCGATTCGAAATCTTTCGTCGTTTTTTTTCCCCCAATCATCAATACGCTGTTATTTAATATTTGGCAATACGGTGCACCCTGACGTATGAGCAATCTACAATTCATTTGAAAATATCATTTGAGCATAACACAAGCACTCTGCAATATTTGTACCCATTGACTTGATATTGTTTGTATGTAAAATATATTTTTAATCTCAGCTGTTAATTTAATTTATAATCAGTTCTTAAGTAACGATCAATTTTGTTCACTAAAGGCAAACCAATGTTTCACACACTTCGAAGCTTTCTTGATGTTTGTACCAATCGTTTCATGATGTATTGCTCGGAAGAGCAATAAGCGCAAGAGAAAAGGTTAATTTCGGTTGCACCGACTGTATGACAGCTATATGCTATAGCAACTTCCGAACTGAACAATTTCTTTAGAGATTACACCATTTTCTTAGACCATAATCCGTACAATACTTGAAGATATTTCATTAATAAAAAATTTGTTTTCCATACAAATAATTGATACCGATTGTTCAGTTTGTATGGCAGCTATATGATATAGTGTTCCGATATCGACGGTTCCGACAAATAAGTAGCCTTTTAGAGAGAATAGGACGTGTACAAAATTTGCGTATATGCAGACATACGGACGTACATGGCTAAATCGACTCAGTTTTTCATACTGATCTTTATAAATATAAATTGTATAAGGTATCTTTCTGTATAATTACAGTAAGCCACCTGATTGAGCGATGACGTTTGCTAATGTTGCGTTGGCAGACAAATCTTTTGCGTCATCTGCGTGGTATTTTTCTCCAAATGAAAAGATTTCTTATTTGTGAGAACTTTGTTTCATATACTTATGTCAATTACTACGAACGATTTATTACGATTCGCTCAAAACAAGGTAATATACCCAAAAAAAATATTACCATTTCAAATAATGCAGCCTTATTAAACGCTTACTGCTTCTGTCCATACCTTCCTCTGCTCGCATTGCTCAATGCGATGATTCATCAAAAATTTGAATTTTATACAAAAGTTCGATATACAATGATTTTTTGCACATATTCGTCAACTTTTATTAAGATTAATTACTGCTTTTTAACAATAGCAATGCATTTAACCATATAGCATATCTCACACAATATCAGAGCGACGTTACACGTAAATCTTTTTATGCATTTATTTGTACATTTTTACATTTTCTCGCATGAGTGCATTAAGGTACATATCAAAAAATTTCTCATCTTCCGTCAGATTTGAAAATAAGGTAGTTGTGGAAGATATAAATATTACGCTTGATAAGCTTCTGTAGTACCTCTTTTTTTGCACCGCTTTATGGTCCCAATTACAGTCCCAAGCAACACAAAATCACAATAGTGTTTCCGAAGTGAATTGCCGTTAAAAATGCAATAAATTCGGTTTACCGTGATGCACATACATATATTCACTTGCTAGTAGATTTCAACTGAATGCACCATATGGTACATATGCATATACATATATTTTACAACTGGGAAGTTACTGCTGCTACGCTTAAAATATAAAAAAAATAAAGTCTGAAATATGTGGGTCAAAGGTAAATCACAATGTGGTATTGACGCCGCCATGCACTCCCATAAATAACAACACGACTTCTGATTTACTTTTATACCATATATTTACTCGTATTTTAATTTGCTCATCGAACGCCTAGAATTTAGTTCAACTGTCTTGTTTTGTGCTCATACATGTACTGGGTTCGGTAGTCGTACGCCCGCAAGCTCCTCAAGGATGCACGTGGGCAACAAACAACCGTAACGTGCCACCAATTTTAGTAACTGTTATTTGGATTTGCGATTCGATTTGTTGGCAAGCTGCTTGGCGGCAGCGCTTTGTGCCTGCGCTTGTTGTGATGTCTGCGGTAGTTGTTGTTGAAGTTGATGATGTTGGTTCTGTCTTGGTGGGCGTTGTGGTTGTTGCGTTGTCGGTTGTTGTTGTTGTTGTGGTTGCAAAGGCGTCTGTTTGCGTGGTTGTTGTTGTAGCGGTTGTTGTTGTTGTGTCTGCAGTAATGGTTGTTGTTGTATGGGTGGTGATAGCAATGGCGGTGGTATTTTGCTACTTAGTGGCACCGGTTGTGGCGCTTCCCTCTGTACTGTCACCTTTTGGTTCTGTAATTGTCTTTGTACTGTTACCTGTTGTTGTTGTAATTGTCTTTGTACTGTCACCTGCTGTTGTTGTTGTGCTTGCCTTTGTACTGTTACCTGTTGTTGTGGTTGTCTTTGTACTGTTACCTGTTGTTGTTGTAATTGTTTTTGTATTGTTTGTTGTTGTTGCTGCTGTTGTACTTGTCTCTGTATCGCCTGTTGCTGTTGCTGTTCTTGTTGTTGTAATTGTTTTTGTATCGCCTGTTGCCGCTCTTGTTGTTGTAATTGTCTTTTTAACTCTTGTTGCTGTTGTTGTAGCAATTGTCTTTGCAACTCTTGCTGTTGTTGAAGTTGTCGTTGTATGGCTTGTTGTTGTTGCTGTTGTTCTTGCAATTGCAGCAACTGTTGTTGTGTCTGTACTTGTCTTTGTTGTTGTTGCTGTTGTTGTATCGGTCTCGGTGAGGCCGTTCGCTTCAGGCCTCGTTGTGTATTAGTATCGTTGTTGTTGTTGTTATTTTTATTGCTTATACTAAGATTAGTGTTGTTATTGTTATTGTTAGTGTTTTGTTGTCGTGCTGGCGATCTGCTGCGCGTCGAAGCGGTGTTAGTCGGCGCCGCCAGCAGTGGACGTGTAGACACGTCCTCCACTTTCAGCTCTTCCAGTTTCTCAGCGCTCTTTTGCAACATGCGATTAATGCGATTTAAGCGTTCCGATTCAGCATCCTCCGCTGGCGCAATGCCACCTATGTGTAAAGGGATAAAGTTGTTAGGAGGCATTGGATTTTCTATGTAATGGTGTTCTGCTGCAAATAAGAAATAAATGACAACTAACGGTATTAAAACAGATAAGTGCCATTTTCTTTTTTAGTGCTGCAAAAATATACTTTTGGTTTCTGTGTTGTTTTTATTTTGACGTATGATGATCGTTTGACTTATCCGATGATTAATGGGTTGATTGCTGAGCTTATGGCGATGGTTGATGATGAAACAACATAAATCAAATTGTAATAGTTTCGAAAAATTAAAATAAAAATTTAAATTTTTTCGAAATTTTCCATCTACAACTCAAAGTAGCAACTAATATATGAATATATTTCTGATTAGCCGATAGTTGTAAATTAAAAGTTAGTATTATAAAGGCACACTGTAACCAATGGAGCAACATAATGGAAACCACTAGAGCCAATGAAACAGAAAACAAAACGATCATTTATACAAGTTTATAGCCAATATACATACATATATATTAAAGATGACAGTATGTGATAGTCAACCAAAAAACCCAATAATAAAGTTAACACTAGCTCAGCTAACTCTTATTTTGAAGGGTAGCATAGGGGAACTCTCACACTTCATTCGAAATTAAATTTGAAGATTAAAAAATACTCTTTCCATACTAAAGCTGTCAAATCTTTCTACTACACCACAATAGTGATCCACTAACAATACACCAGAAACAGCCGAGAAGTTAGAGAACCGAGAAGTATTAAATTTCATCCAGCGTGTGTAATCTGTAGGAAATTATAAACTTTTTTTTTCGATTTTTCATCAATACCAATGCATTGCTATTATTAATGGTATCAAAATATAATGTTGTAAGTAGTGAAAGATTTATCGTCAGTATATAATATTTCTGCTTCGGTTCTTTCATGTTCAACATGTTTAGGAGTCTCAAAAGTTGGAGAAATTATTGGACTTTTTGGAACAACTAAATTTAAACATGCAATTACAGAAGCAACAATACGAGTTTTCACAAGTGTTTTGTTGTATTTGTAAAATTTTTTTCGTAACATTTTTAAAAAGTTTTGCCAAGTTGGTTTCGAACCTTTACAAACGCAATTGACCATGAATTTGCGAAAAAGTTTGTTTATTTGTAGTGAGAATATGTTGCCTTACGAAAACAATTTTTGTTGATAAAGTATGAGATTTCCAAGCGGTATATGTTTATGAATATTATTTTCTGATTTAGAAAATGCTGAATTTTTTTGAAAGTTTTCTTTCAATGATATAAATTTATGGAATAAGAGTATTTGAGCACATTTACTGTTCAACGCATCACTTTTTATGACAACAAGGATTACCGAGATATCCTATAATGATATGCCATTGTAAAGATAACACTGTTTTAAAGTAGATTATAACTGTGTTTTATATGCCGTTATAAGCGTACAAACACTTTTAGATATTTTTGAATAATATTAATTCTTACATAATGGTGTGGTTATTTCTCTCAAGAACACACCAGAGACATGTGGAAAATTGTGTAACTGTAAAATGGTCAAATTTGGACCGGTCTAAGTGAAGACTAAATAAGGCAAATAATTTACACTTTTCGATGAATTTTAAATAATAAATACAAAATTTGGTCGCAAGCAGAGAAAACATTACATATGGTTACTCATACTTGGCTTAAGGTTATTCATAATTTTGTACTGTTCGAGGAAAAGTTTTTTGGAGATCGTTAAGTACCATAAAATGTGCAAACAGATGTTTCGAAAATATGTGTGGAATAGAACATAATATTATATTAATTATGACAAACGTATCAAGAACGGTTGACTTTTTCCATTATCGATAATTATGGATTAATATTATTATTATAAATTATTAATACGATTTTTAAAAGAATAGTAAATGCAGCAAAGCTTTATTAAACATTTATATAATTTTTTTTGATAAAAATTGTTTGACAATAAATTTATAAAACATCGCTGTTTTAAGAAAACTTAAGAAAATTTAGAGAAGAAGACTTAGATTTAGAGTCTGACAACCTTAGTTGAGATAATTTTATATATTTTTGTGACTATTGTTTTATTTTTTACATCATTTCATAAGCACAAATATCACATTATTTATATTTGTTGGTCTTATTTTATAAAAATTTTTAATAGATAAAAATTGCGATTTTTAAAATTTTAGAAAAAAATTGTCGATTTAAGAGCACCAAAAAAACTGTACCATGTGATTCTTTTAGTTTTATTATTATAATTATTTTAAATTTACAATTTAGCTCTTATACTCATTCATTTCATCATATGTAAAAAAAAAAAACCATATTTTAGAGCAAAATGTTCGATAGCATGCTTGTAAACATCGAAATGTTACCATTACTCTTACTCAGGACATTCACATCACAAATAAATCGGCAATAGGAAACAGAGAGTTACACGAAGTAGTACACGAAGGGAAGACATAGTTATCAACAAAATTGTACTATGTTAACCACAAAGTTCCGGACTATTTAAATATGCTGCAAATAAGAATTGATAAATTTTTATAAACATATAAATTATTATAAATATATATACATACATACATAGAAAGTACTGTAAGGAAAACATTAAAAATATTGAATTAAAAAAAATAAAAATACAAATACAAATATGTTTAATTATATTTTTTTATTGTGTAGTACAAATAAGTTTCATTCGAAAAATATATAACATTTGTTATTCATGAAATATTATTATTGATATAACGGTGTTTTGCATTTGATCGCGCTTTTTGAAATATTATTACAAATAATGCAAAATTGTCTTCTTTCAACTTAAATTTTTATTTTTTTTATTATTTTTTCTTTATTATTATTAGTTTTTTTTCTTGCAAAAGTCTTCAATAATTATTCAACAATTTACCGTTGCAAATTACACAAATATGCATGGTGAAGATATGCATGTTATTTTTATTAATATTTAAGTAAGGGGGAATATATATTTACGCCTTAAACACACACAAAATCCAACGAATGCGAAACAAACAAATTGAACGAAATTTGCAAAAGTTTATTAAATACAAAATGAGTCTTACAAAATAGTCGAATTTTTACAGTTTTTAATTTAAAATATGATTTTTGTGAAAAACAATTTACAAAAGTTATCGAAATAACAGCAAAAATAATGTTTGATACAAATATAAGAAATAATGCGCAACTGACTTACTTAAATAATGAATTGTTTGTTAGAAAATTAAGTAAATTGTGTAGATAATTAACAATTGCAATGATGTGGGTGCAATGATATGGCAAGTATGAGTATTTTTAAAAAGTGATTTTCAATTTTCGAAAATCAAAGTGATAAATTTTGGCACTAGCGCTGCTGGAAAATTTTGACTCAAAATCGAAAAAATATTTTAAATTTAATAAAAAAAAAATTTTTCGACCAATGTCAATTAAAGTATGTGCCTTCACCTTGTGCATATTTTATTGTCGCATACTGTGCCTGCTTTTCAGTATGTATGTATGTGTGCGTGCGTAATATAAAAAGTTTGTTCATTGTGCTTTGTTTTGTAGCAAACATTTTTTGTTTTATTGTAAATGTAAAATGTTTGTTGTAGTATTTTGTTCTTTTTTTGTGCAATTTTGTATTATTTTTTCATTATTTATATATATATATTATTTTTTTTAGTATTTATGTAGCTATAACTGTGAAGGACGTCTCTTTTCTTTCATGTGCTTGAAAATGTTTCACTTCATATTTGTTTAGAAGTTATTGTTTTCTTTTTATTAAAACATTTTTTTATTTATGAAGTACCAGACTTATCCTCCTCCTGTGGCGGCGTGGCGACGGGTTTCGATTCCAAGGTTTGTGTTATTTTCTTCCAAATATTGTCGAAGGCATCTCGGCCCGTGTAATCGATTTGTCCGGCCTCCCAGCATTGACGACGCATCAGCTGTTCGTAGACCTCCTGTTCGGGTGTGCGTTGCTCGCCGAGACGCAGCTGAGACAAAGCGCCAGCCAAACCAGCCTATTGTGGTAGGTAGGGTGGGGAAGGAAGAGAGTAAAGAAAAAATATTTGTTAGTTAGAAAAACTTTCATTGAATATAACAATTTTTATGGAAAGTCACATGGAAATTACATGAATTGTGTTTATATACATATTTTTGGTGTCTAAACTGGTGAAAAAAATATTTGCAGTTTGGAAGTTATGTCTGAAAATTTCTTTTATAAAAGCTTTAAAAGCTTGTCGCGATACAATTTGTTTTAAAAATATTTTAAAAATTTTCTTCGAATTAACAAATATCTCACCAAACTCTGGTAACACTAAAAAAAAATTTCGTCAAAATATCAAATTAAAAAAAAAAATATTATTTACAAAAACTTTTATAGACCAAGTTTTTCTTATTAAATTAAATAAAAATTTATAAGACGTACACGCGTAAACAATTTGTAAGTTTTGAACTAATTACAATATGTACTTCCCCATAATTAAAATATAATAATTATTATTTATTGCTGGCAAAGTGAACACCCCTAATATATTATAATGAAACTTTTGTTCATGTTATTGCAGTTTTAGAGACCCTAACTACTAGTTATTTAATAAAAGCTGTCTTCGATTCTGCTTTCTTGTCAAAAAAATTACATTTGTTATAAAAGTAACAACAAAGTTGTCGAGTTGAATTCGCGTAAGATATTTTTGAAATTTAAGACTTAAAATCAATGATAGTAATATATAGAAAATAAAAATAAAGATACACCAACATTTTTTAACGCGACAAAAATAAAGAATCATAACACTATAGCGCATACGTCAGCATACATGTTAGCGCAAGGTTGCACCACAAGCGCTGCCCGTTTGTTTGAGCATTTGGTACAGTTTGTTCGATTCATTGCAGAGTCAACGGTTGGTGAATCGAAGACAGCTAATATCTCAACAGTGCTCGTTTGAGTTTTAGTTCGTCAGTGCTAAGCGAATGGTGAATCGAACAAGCAACTGGCATAGATTAGAAAAAGTAGGAAGATAAAGAAAAGGTTTAGCTCAACTCAGTAACTTTGTTGTCGCTTTTGTATAAAAAGTACTTAGCAAGAGATCGGAGTTCGAAAAACGAAGGTGGCGAATCAAAGACGACTATTATTTAAATAGAATTAAATAAAAATTTTCAATGGTCAAAGTTACAGATTAAAATGTATAATTTAATTAATTTTGTAGATCTGGAATTTTTAAATTAATCGACACTAGGGTTGAGTAAGAATTAAAGTTAACTTTTTAAATTGTTAACATACTTATATTTTATTATATAAAATTTTTTGTCAATATCGCAATATTTAAAAATAAAAACAATATTTTTAGAGTCGCAATAAAAATCAAACTAAATTTTAATTTTTTTATATTTTTTTTCCAGCTAAATAAGCACACCCATAGTTAAAAATGAGCATACCTCCAAAATTATTGCTCTTAGAACTAAAATTATAAATGCCACTATAAAAATGTTATTTATCATTCAATGACCAAACTTTAAATTTTTTTTTCCAAATTTTCCAACGGTTAAATAATCTGTTTTCTTAATTTATTTTTTTTAAATCGGAAATTTTTGATAATTTTTTTTTTATTCCTTGTCAGCAAATATTTTTTTTCCAAACCCATATTTAATAATAATAATTTATGTGTGTATATATGTAGAACATAAAATATTGTGCAAACCAAAGCATATATTTAAGCTGGGTTAGTCTTTAATATGTAACAGAGAACATGTAATTTTAAACTTGTATTTAAGCAGCAAACACAAACAAAATAATATATTATATATATATATATACATATGTTATTAAATATTTTTCATTATAGAAATTCCGTTAAACCAGACTGTACATTTGTTAGTACGAAGCAGCATCCAAACGCCAAAATATTCGTTCATTCACCTTCGGGAAGATTACTATGGATACCAAAGTGCGCGATTAATTTAAGAATAACTTAATCCATAATATGAATAATTTTTTTTGATAAAAAATGGAAATGAGATTGTGTTGCACACAAATTTATATTGTTTTCCGATGAGATGATTTTGATTTAACAGAAAATGAATTCGGTGTTGCAGAAAAAAATATACCTAAATTAAATGGTTGCAAATGAAATTTTAGCAATGAATTATGTGAAAATGTAATACGTTGCTTAACCGATTTGATCAGTCTGGATCAAAACACTCTTGACCACAACACTAATTTAGAAATATAATCGAGCAAAGAGGCCTACCATACTACTACTGCTAAAAGCATAGTAAATAAGTAGAACGGAACTTAGGTCTCACCTCAAATGACCAATTTTCAAAATTTTGTGTAAGGAAACTATAAATTGTAGGCCTCATACCATTTATATAGTTTATCTTTATTAATGAATGTACTGGAATTTAAGTTCACAGAAGATATATTTTCTCAGGTTGAATACTGAAATTAATTTTCAGTTGAGGAACAACTTCGAAAAATGAATAGACTTAGAAAGGTTTAGAATTAGAACAAGAGGGAAAATAATTTTTACTGTTGAAGTCACGATCGAGCCTTCTGATGGCGACGTAATCGGGAACTCCTATTTTGAAGAATAATTTAAGACGTATATATGTGGTTTTTATACTAACGTTTTGAGCTTTTATTCCTGATAAACAAGAAAAAGCTAAACAGTAGGTTTATCCCGGAAATTGAAGACATTTTGGCTAGAAATTTTATTAAAATTGTGAAATAAGTACGATGCCGAGAGGCTAAAACAAAGACTTTTCTCTCCAGATACTACCCAAAGCCCTTTACAAGCTTCCATATATTTTTCGGAAATATAATCGTATGACATTAATTTATATATGATTATCGCAGGAAGCAATTCGTGTGCGTTGATGGTGAATGAATGAATATTGTATTAGAAAACATAAACAAATGAATGAATAAAATGACAAGCACGCGAACTGACAGCAAAAATATGATGAAAGGCGATATTAATGAATATAAATATGACGATATATGAAATATATAATGACAATTGACATGACAATTCTAGATTTCATCTTAAATTTTGTGTGACTATTACTAGTGACGAGACAATTGACTAGACTCATGACATATGACACATGACATCTGATTATATACGACACTAGAACCATGATTTGATGACTCATAACATGACTTTTGGCAGAACTGTTAATGAGACTTATAACATGACCGCTTGTATGACTCATGACATGACAGCTTGCTTAACTCATGACAAGACTACTGACATTTCAGGTGACATTACAAATGACATGCCTAACTAAGTTTGACTAATGACAATACAAATGAAAATATATATTACTCACACTATTATAAAGACATGAAAATACTTGAAACGATGTCACGTCTAATATAATTTTACTTTGACACAAAATGGCTGACAAACTAGTGATAGCATGGCATGATCTTTGACGAAGCGTATGAGCTGTCAAAATGATTGAAAAAGTGTTAAATTTTGAAAATGAAATTTGAATGAGATTATGAAAAGTGTCTGACAAGGCAGTGAATTTTTAAATGCTCAACAAATTTTGAACGTTAGACCACAAAATATTTATTTTTTTTCATTTATTGAAAGCGAAGGGTATGCACCACCAATTGTATAACAAAAGCTCGTCTACGCCAAAGATAATGACATGCTCTAGTAATACCATCGAATACAACTAGCAAATATGATACCAAATTGAACGTTTCAACAAATCTGGCAACTCCCAAATATTTACAGACAATTGCACTTCATAGTTGCTATTTTTTTTTATTAAATATTCCGCTATGCAACACCATCTAAGCCGATACTAATATACATATCTATACCCGAATTTGAATGGAGTGCTTTATAAATAATACAAGATAATAGGAATTCAACTATAAAGCACTTGAGTAGGTGTGTCATATGATCGTGGCATGTCACTTTACCTCATTCTTTTCTTTAGTTTTGTTTTTGTTTTCTCTTTCTCTTTCATTCACATCTTTACTACGGAATGCTTGTTTATCTGTTCTAGACCTAGTGCTAACGGTTTTTTTCTTTGTCCCATCTGTACTTTGTGATTTTTGCGTTACAGATGAGGAGTCTTGTTGTTTTTGGGCAGTGTTCTCTTTATGAATATCAGCTTCATAAATTCGTTGCTCAGTGGCAGTAGCTTCAACATTTTCGCTTGTTGAGGTTTTTGTACTTTGCTCATGGGATTCTTGGCTAACAGGGGTAACATGCGTTTCATGGGATTCATAGGCTGCTTGTTCCTGATATTGTTCTATTGGCTTGTCTTTTTGTTCATGGTACTCTTGTTGTTGTGGCTGTGGTTGTGGTGTTTCGACAACCGCAGCTTCTTCTCTCTCATAATTAGCCTCATAATGCGCTTGTCTTGATTGCTCTTCCTCTCTGCTGTGCCACTCGTGTGCTGGCTCTGCTGCTGGCTGTTGCCATTCGTGCTGGTGGTGTTGTTCGTGTTCGTGATGTTGTTCGTGCTCGTGATGTTGTTCGTGTTCATAATGTTGTTCGTGCTGCTGCTCACTCGCTTTTATGCTATTACTACGCTCTCTGGCTAAATTCTCATAGTAATCTTCCCAAGGATCACGAAATTCTTTGATATCTTCGAACTCATAATAATTCGGCGACGGTGAATGTTCGTGTTGCTGCTGCTGTTGATGATGTTGCTCATGTTCATAATGTTGATAGTAATGATCGTGTTGTTGTTGTGCTGGTGTTTCAGGGCGATAGTGATAGTAATAATGAACGACGGCGCCACACTGTGCAGCGAGGACATTTTTTCATTGCGGAAGATTTCGCGAGTTATTGTCGATTTTTGTTTCGAATTTCGTTTCAGTTTAACCGCAAGCCAATAAAGTTTTTTGGTAATTTTTTACCATATTGGAGATAACACATTCATATGAGTTAAAGCATAAATGCGTTTCGAATACAATTTTTGATTTTTGGTTTTGAATTTGATTTTGTGAAAAATTTAGTTGGGTTTTAAAATTTCATTTGGCATGTTAAGTATTAGAAAAATATAAAAATATATAACTTTTAGCAGTTGTTAGTAATAATTTGTGTAAAATAAGAAAATCATATATGCATAACGGTAGTTATAGTTATATATAACAATTAGAACTAGTAACAGCATGCAGCAATGCTTTAAATGCTTAATTTTTTATATAAATTATTTGAATTTTAAGGAATGGCGCTAAGGAGTAAATATCACCTGAATTTGAAGCTGTATTAACTAGTATATAGTCTTTGAAGGATGTAGATAATTTGTTGTTTTACATGTAGGTAAAGAAAGCTAAAATGTTGCTTTAAACTCCCTTATGCATTTGAAAAAGGATAAAAATATTATCTATATGTAGAAATGTCTGTCAAAAGGCTTTAAAAAAGATGTTATGTTTCGCAATTATTACATGTACAAGTAGGTTGATATAGCGTTAGATATGACCTAACTTAAAAAATCCTTACCTCTCAATGGTCTCCCATGTTTAAATACAAATCTATGTGCCTTCATTAATATACTATATGATTATTTTTTTACATTTTTTTATGAATATGACATCTCCTCCTTATATTTGGGAAGTGTTATAATAATTTGTGCCGTTGTAATATACATATATATTAAAACTACAAGTCAATTAATGACCTTCGGACCATCGAGATATATGCAGACAAATCTCATCGATTTCACTTTCTGAAGTGTTGTACTGATTTTTTTGCCAAGAAAGATTCAGAGAACTTAATGTTGAAATACTTTGAACTTCGAATTTATTTTAACCCTTAAGTGGTCAACGATATATTAACTTAAAAACACCGTTCAAGTATTTTCATAGTAAGAATTACGGATATTCATGAGTTGATCACTTCATAGCACAGCTTGATAAAATTAGCACTGCATGTACTTCCCACAAATAATAAACTGTTGATATGATGGCAATGTTGTACGAAATTTTTAGTTTTGCCTAAATATATAGCAAGACACAAATATTGGTTGCTGGGTTTTTATACAAATAGAACTTTTGAATCTTTCCATCAATTTCTAACCTTAAAATTATCAAGGCGCTCATTCAAAATGTAGTTATTTCGGATATTTATCCAAGCTCGGTAGGAGTTTTGGGCAAATCCACTAAAATGGTACACCTGGAACAATATAATAGGTAAATAGACTGTTCCGTGCTTCATGAGGGCACGAATAATCCCACTTGACAAGCTTTTGACGCTTGCTCGTTGTGATACCAAGCACTTCTAGGTATGAAACAAAACGACCGTCATAGAGTCTGCCACAAATTTATTGAGGAGGCTAATATCAATTCCAGCCATTACTCAATATTTTGGGGAACGTCAAAATAATGTTGTATTCAGATTCCTTGCAACCAAAAATATACCAATACGGATTTTGAATTTGAAAAATGCAAGTTATCAAATTTTACTCAAAAATCTGCCGGGAACGTTTAACAATTTTATGAAATATTATCTATTCTAAAAAAGTAAGTTTAGAATAAAATTGGAGTAGCTGCAGAGACTTTTTTTTAATAGGTTGGATAATTTTTTAAACTTAAGGAGTACATCTCCCAAAACATGTGCAAGAAAGTTCTCTACTAGCATTATGCTTATTAAATCGTTGTGAGCACTTGCACTTATTTTCCACCTCAGAATAAAATTAATGTTCAGTTTTATTGAGCATTTTCTTAAATTGAAAATTTTCTTGAACGAAAACATAATTTTTTTTTTAACAAAATTTTATTGAAAATCATTATTCAAAACGCAATATACGTACATATGTATGAGATACACATCTACATAGACATAATTGTTTACTTGTATGTACTTGTATACTAAATATCCTTAATCTATTTTCTCTGTCATTGTATAAATAAACTATGAACAATTTGTTTACGCCGCTCTTGTTGGCCAAATGCCAACATCACGCTGCGCTAATCACACTTCAGAACAACAATGAATTATGCATAAACAAACACACATACTTGTATGAAAAAGAGAATAATTGCGCAGATTTCATCGAAATTTTTGAAACGAAATTGAGGCGATTGCGCTATTTATGCGTGGAAAGTGATTTGGGTGTGGCGACCATGACTTGATTTGAGGCTGTTGGCAACGAAAAATCATCTGCAGATGCGCGGAATTGGTTATGCATATATATAATATATATATATTTGTATATATATATATATATATGTGTATATATATTCATATGTAGTTTTGTAGGCGAAATAAACGCAAAATATGTGTTTTTTTAGTTAATGCTCTGAGCTGCAAAAATTTAGATCACAATGGATTAAAGAGGAAAAAGAAAAATTATATCAAAAGAAAAAAATTAATTACATCTTCTTTTCATATTTTAGCACCATATTAGCTTATTTACCCATCTAGTGATGTGCTTGTGGCAAATAATGTTCAAAAACTGTTTTTGCAATTTCGAAAACAAATATTTAATCTAATCACTTTAGCCTTAAAAGTCAGCACTATTTATCCATTAATCCATCCATTGGAGGCAGTTTGTATAGTGGATGCCAAAAATATCCAAACCTGTGTGGGCTATGCTAATAAATAAGGCTTAAATACAGAAAAATGAGTTCACAATATTTGCAATTGCTCGTCTATTCACCGAACAATAGTGACAGCGCTGCAAAGATTTGGCAGATGAAGGAAAAAAATTGTAAATAAACAAATATTTTAGTTGAAGAAGTACAAAAAGCTTTTGAACGCATTACTTGTGTGTGTGTGTATTTTTAGAGCGAAAACATATTTGTCCAAGTGTGTGTGCCGAGTCTAATGCTGCATTAAGTGTTGAAAACTATTTACACGAAATGCGTTTTTGAAATGTTTGCTTCGGTTGTCGTGTATATATTTGCCAAATTTAAATAGTAGCATGGTTTAATGTTTTTTTCTTTAAAGCTTTAGCATGTTTTTGTAATATTTGTAAGTGTTCAATATGTGGCCTTTTCGGAAGTAATTGAATGAGATTTTAAAAATAAAATTTGGAAAGACGTTATTGTTATTCAAGATTTTTTTAATAAAAATAAGGAAAAGTAAATATTTTTAGTTTGATTTCACATTTTCTATTTAACAATAAAGATTTCCTCCTATACTTCCTAATTCGTACAATTAGATTCTTTTTGTTTAAATACGAAAATTTCTCTATTCGAATATTGTTTATAGAAATTGTGCTTGGAGTTATAACTTTCAAAACATATGCAGACGTATTAAAACGCGTTTTACACTTTAACTCTTGAAAAATTTCCAATTTTCATTTATTTCAGTTTCTCATATTAGAATAATCTCGAAAACGCATTCTGCTCACCATTCGAAATAAAATGTTTTAATTGATCGGGATTTCGATATAAACTTTTGCAAATTTTATTTTGCTATTGAAAATTTAGTTTACTTAAAGTTACCAAATTAAAAAAAAAAGTTAAATAATTACATATTTTGAAATCCATATTCTTAATTGTTCAAAAAATCGAAATAAAGTTGTAGAATTTTTTACTTATATCATACAAAAATTATAAAAACGTATTTAATGTCCTCAAATTATTAAATAATCAAACATTTTCTCTAGCTCTTCTTTCGAGAAATTCAAAAGTTTTATTTCCAGTATTTGGGAATTCGCTTTTGGACTTTTGAATATTTAAAATTTTAAAGTTTTATTTATGTCAGCTCCTCATATTAGAAAAAAGTGAATCCCTTGCTTCAATGCTCCTTTTTATCATTTGAAAATTAAAAAATATTTAATAATTTAATAATTTTAAGTTCCATTAATTAGAAGAAAAGCTAAATCCTTACCAACCGAGGTTTTACATTTTTTGAAATACAAATTTTTCATTGCTCAAACAATCGATACAAAGTTTTAGAATTTTTTATTCTTCAAACCATTAACAAAAAAAGTTAAATTTTTTGTATATTACACTTCATTTGACTTAATCGAATTATCGAAAATTTGGGTTTTAAATTCGAATTTTCGAAACTCGAATATTTTGCTATCGAATTTTTTTTTTTCGGCTTATAATTTTAAATTTCAGTGTCCCCAAATAGCTAAGATCCAAAAATTTAAACCCGAATATCGATATAAAGTCACCTAGTCAGCGATGAACTTTACTATAAAAGTCTCATATCAGAATTATATTTTTGAAAAAAGCAAATGCTCAACTCAAACATTTTTCGGTGTTTATAACTCAACTCAATTTAAACAATTTCCGAACATTCGAAAAAAATATATAAATGCTATTTCGAAAGTAAACTACTTCAAAATATAGTAAAAGACATTCAGGGATGATTTCAATGCAACTATTCTATCAAAAAACGAAAAAAGTCAGTTAAAATTAAAATATTTTTCTCCACGCGGGTGTTGTAATAATTTGTATATATTGGAGCGTATGTTATCTCTAGTGATTTAAAAAAAAAATAGAGGTTAGGGTAGTCAAGTCAAGGTAAAAGTGAGATAAACAACAAATTAGACAAAAAAATTTCATGATATAAAATGACCTAAGCTCTGTTATTAACCGCCGCCAAATTTAGTTTACAGATGGTGAAACAATTTTCAGGTTAAGACGGAATATTAAAGTGAGAAAAACGAAAAAAATAGTATCTAAAGAAACAAAAATTTATATTTTATGTTGAGCTATGATTTAAAATAAATGAAATTATAAATTTTATATATTATATAATTTCTTTTTAAATTTTTTTAAATTTTCATTAAATTTAATTTTCTATATTTTTATATAACTATGTATATTATATAATATTGTTCATCTCACTAAATTAAATATTTACACACGCTTATGAATGGTGATCTCGAAATCAATTATTTACAACAAAAAAATGCGTACCCGCTACCTTTGCTTTCCAAACTAACTAAGCGTACGAGTATTTATAGCTATGTATATACATACATATGCATGTAAGTATATATATATATATTTATGCTGTACAACATTCATGGCGGAACAGTGAAATCGCTACAGTTTACTAAGTAGGTATATGTGTGGGTAGGTTCTAATTGATTTATTTTAAGAAAGCGCTTCGACTTACATATCTTACCACCACAGCTTCACATTCACTACTAAATCCTTGCGCAGACTTGTAAAGGAATTTGGAAAAAGGCATTTTGCAACAATTTAGTTTCATCAAACAAATTCGAACAGGAAAATTCAAGAAATTAATATTATTAAGTAATTAGTAAAATAAAACAGTAGATAACTAGTAAAAACTGTTGAAATTATGCTTTGCGTTTAGCAAAAATAAATTTAAAATAAAAATAATATTAAAAAATACAATAGTAAGTAAATAAAATTTTAAAAAAAATATATTTTTTTTATTTAAAAACACTCACCATATCATCGGACAACTGCTGATGCACATTGTCGCAGAAGATGTTCCACCAGAGCTGTATCAAATCGGCGGCGTGCGCATACTCTGTGGGCGTCAGTGCTGTGCGGTTCTCGGAATTGAATTGTATGAGCCATGGCTTCAATTTGCCCGCAAAATGCAAAATCTTAATCTTATCTCTGAACCTACAAAGCGAAAGTTAAATGCATAAACATCAAAAAAATTGTTTGATAGAAGAAAGTCGCAAAAGAACACGCCACCCACTGTTTGAATGCGGGCAAGTAGCAGTACGAAGCGAATGCGGCCACATTGTAGATGAATGGCAAGTGCTTCTTGATATCGCTTTGCGCCCAATCGCCGAAGAATAAATTCAATAAACCCTGATCACCGCCATCGAAACTGCCATTCTCTATGGCGAACTGTGTGATTTTGGCGAATGTCTCCAAACTGGGACGATATACGAACACACCGGAGTTGAAGCAGTCGGGCCAGCTAACATCGGGGCGCGATAGTTCCTCGCGCTCGAACAGCTCATCGCAGTTTTGCAGCACCTAACGGGATGCAAGTGAAACAAAAAAAAAAAAATTAATTTAAAATCACACGCCGTCAGCATTAACTCGCTCATACGCACCAGTGTATCAGCATCAAGGAAGACGCACTTCTCGAATTGCACCAGACGCCAGCAGTGCAGTTTTGTGAATGTGACACCGAGTTCGGGGCGTGCGAGCAGTGCCAAATTGGCGGCATCCTGTGAGTCCAAAACATTCACCTCCTGCACAACATTGTAGACATCTTGCAAGCGCTGGCGCATGGCCGCCGACACGGCAGGCGTCACTAAGACGGCCAGCTGATAGGCGGTGCCGGTGCGGCGTAACGAGTGCGCCAACACTAAAGCGCCCAGCGAGTACGTGTCATTCGTTGTTAACGTCACCCACGCAAATTCTACGAGAACACAAAGGTGGAAGAAACAATAACAATAATAATATTAGACTACAATTCGCATTATAAAAATATGTTAAGCACAAAAAATATAAAAAATAAATGAAAAATAATAAAAATGCTTGAAATAAAATACCAACAATATGTTCATAGTTCTTTCAAGCTTCAGTGAATTTTAATTTTTAGCCATTTCATTTGCTCATAAAAGAAATTATGAGTGCATAATACATAAAATATATAGAAAAATTATATTGTTTCATTTCCGCTGGCGAGTGGCGACGGCGTTGGGCTTTGGTATGTGGCTAGTAGAGTGGTAGTAGTGATAGCGGTCGGCGCGGCGTTGTAGGCGACAGCGGGTGGACACAGCATAAGCGACAGCTGCGTGCTTCAAGCGAAATTTATTAGATATATTTTTAATTTCAAATAACAAAAATTTTTTTGTTAGCATTTTAATTTTTTTTTTTTAATTTCTTAATATTATTGTGTGAAAAATATTCAGCATGTGGGCGTAGCGCTTTTAGTTTCCCGAATATTTGCTTTAAATGCAGTTTTAGTGTTTTGTTATATTTATATTTTTAAATTTTTTGTGTTTTTGTTAATATACATTTTTTTCAAAAATTTTCTATTTCATAAATTTGTTTATTAATTTCAAAAACTTATGTATTATATATTGATATACAAAATTTTTTAATAGCGGTATCACCAAAAATATGTAGTTTTTTCTTAACAAATATTTGGGAAAAGTATAAATATAAATTTTTTCTTTAAGAAGTAGTCTGATATTGCATATTGCAAAATTATAAAAAAGAAAAACTTAAAAAAAAAAAATTATTTAAGAATTTAAATAAAATATATATAAGTTGCACTCGTTTTTAATCAAATTTAAAGTTTTCTCAACATTTTTCTATTCCTAAAATTTTTTTTATTATTTTCAAACAAAGCAGTATACTTGTATATAATATTTTTAATAGTGGTATCGAGTTCTCTCTCAAAAAATTTTCGGAAAAAGGAATGATATTGTGTATTGCAGAAATATATTTTAAAAAAATTATTTTCCAAAAATAAAATTTTTTTCCAAAAAGTTTAGTGATATCGTATATTGCAGATTTATATAAAAAAAAATCGTTTGCAAAAACAAATCTTATTTGGAATTTCCAAACAAAAATTGAGAATTTAAACAAAACTATATTAAATTTAGATTTTTTAATGAAATTCTTGTCAGCACAATACCGAAACTAGATTTTTTTCATAATAAAAACAATTAAATAATTAATAACCAATTTAAAAAATAGACAAAGTATCACCGAAAGTATTTTAATAACAAAATTTTTTTAATTTCAGAGAAAAAGAGAGATTTAGAAGTTGTCTCAGAAATTTTTTATTCAAACTCTACGAAGTTTATTTTTAATTAGAAGAGCATAAAAATATTTACTTCAGTGAAACTCAGAAAGAAAACTAAATTTCGAATACATTTTCAATAAAATAATAATAATAAAGTGATAAATAATAAATTTTAACATTTACTTTATTGAAACGCACAAAANATTTTTAATTAGAAATCAATAAAGTACTACACTTTATTTAGCTCAAAATTTTAATACATTTTTGTCCCACATTTTAAACTATTTATATTAAAATATATTTTTGCATTCTTAATTTAATTTAAACTTTTGTAAATTTTCTTTGTTTGCTAAGCAGCTGACAGCAAATCAGCAGAATTATATTTCAGCACATTAATTAGTGTCATTTAATTGTATGAAATTTTCGTTTACTTTTATTCATTTAAACACATATATTATTTATTTGTATATATATTTTGAATTTCGTAAACTTTGTTGGCGATAATTTAAGTAAAATTGCCACAAATAAATTTCAAAATCAAATTTTTTGGCACGTTATAACAAAGTAAACAAAATCAAAGGTTTCCAAACATCTTCTTCTGAGAAATATGTATCAAAATATACAAATACAAATGAAAAAACCTTAAAAACAATTAGGTTATGAGCGAATTATTGAGAAGAAAATTGCCAAGTTTCTATAGTAAAGTTATATGGTGAAACCCAATTACTCCCTTTTTTTAATGACGTGACGAAACAAACTGTCAAAATAAACTCTGTCAACTGCTCGCTAAAAAAGTAACTATCATAACCTCTGTTTCTATTGTTTTTGTCAAAAATCGAATATTAATTACTAAATTAATATTAGTGGATGTTTTCTATGCTACAAATGTACTCTCAGGCAACTAAACAGAAATATTTTCTATCGTAAAGTAGTTTTTTTTACTACACAACTCTCGAATGCTTTAATAAAATTAAAAAAAAAAATTTTAAAATTATAAATATTTGTTTAATAACATTATTTAAATCCTCTATTTTTGGAGAAAATAAGTTTTAAAAATTTATTTTGAAAATCAAAACCGCTGGAAAAAATTGGATATTAGATAATTTCAGTACTGAAATTTTAACTGCATTAAATAATTTTTTTTTTTTAAATTTTATAAAAATATTTATAATATAAAACTACACTCTATTAGCCAAATTAAAACAAACAATTAATAAATTCTCATTAACAATATATGTATGAGTAAATTTATTTACTTTCAATTTCGATATTTACAAAATAGTATAATAATTATAAATTAATAAAATTAATTTCATGGCTGCATACGGCAACTCCAACAACATCAATATATACAAACATACATAAGTAGATGTTTGAGCGGTGATTAGTGTCTGTTTGTATGATAATTGAGATAATTAAATTTGTTAATTAAGTTACACAAATAGTTATAAGTTAATCGAGACAATAAAATCATTGGTGATAATAGTTATTTAGTATTAATTACATACAAGGCAATCAGCAAAACTATAGTATTAATATATAATATTAATGGGGAAAGTTAAATTATTGAAAATGTGAAAAAATAAAATATTGAAAAGTTATTGCACGAAAAAGTGAATATAAATGAGAAATAAGACATCGATCTACCTTTATATGTTTACAAAATGCATTCAATTCACAATCCACGAGCATCAAACGCTGCTACTACATGTACATATATATAGGTGGAGTGGTGTATGTGGTTGTGTGCGTATGCGTGACAAATCAGCTAATGCACCAATCAATCAATCAAATGCACATAATCTTGCTTAGCTTCGCTTTACGCAGCGCTACTGCTGCGGCAGTTGTGTGTGTGCGTGTGCAGTGGTGTTGGTGACAGTCGCAACTCCGCAATATGCAACAGCGCCTAAAACTGCACTTTTCTATACATGTATGTGTCTTCCACTTTCATCTTTTGTAGCGCTTCAGTGACTTCACACTTCTTTGCATTTATGTATTTGTGCGTGTGTGTGGTTTTCTTATATGTGTGTGGTTGTATTTTGCAAATTTTCTAGGCGCTTGCGACATTTTTTTATTTCTAGGGAATTTTCAATGTTTTTATCGGGAATGGTGTGTGGGCTTGTTATATATTGTTCGTATATGCGTATGTGTGGGTGTGTAGATGTGTATTTTCGTAATTAATGTGTCAGGTTTTATGAGTTCACGCAAATGATTATCACAATGGCCTAAAATAAAAATGAGTTAATTTATTTTGACTTGCTTTGTGGAAAAACTTTGCTGACTTACCGTGCTCAATTTATTTTTATTTGTTATTATACTATATACATAAATATATATAAGTATTTATTTCACTTTTAACATTGAACTTGAAAATTTAAAAATAACTGGACATTCATGCTTATAAAGAGGTAAGGATAAATGTTTGATGAGGTACACAAGTATTGCAGATTTCGAAGCCGAAAGGTAAAATACTTCGAGAAGTAGTTTAAAAAAATATATTTTTATAAAACAAATAATTATTTGAATATTTATATTATTACACTATAATTTTTAAATATTTTTTATAATATAAAAATATATTCTTATTAAAAAATAATAATTAAAATATTTAAATTATTATTAAAAAAAAAATGTATAAAGTTTAATTAGTTTTATTATTCTTTTTTATAAATTTACAAATATTTTTTATTAAAAAATTAAAAATTTAAATATTTTACATTCTATTTATTGATATTATTTTATTTTTGGTTGTATAAATTTAAATTATCAAATGTATAACTTTATATTTTAAAAATATTTAATTTTTTATAAATTTGAAAACATTTTTTGCAAAAAAATTTAAAATTAAAATGTATACCTTTCAATTTTATAAGCATTAAAATTTTTTTTACAATATTTAAATTTTTATTGTAATAATGTAGTAATGTTTAATTTAAATTTCTATTTTTTTTATGAACTTAAAAAAAGGTTTATCAGAAAAATTAAAAATTATAATAATTAACTTTTTATTTTAAAAATATTTAACTTTATTCAAAATATTTAACTTTCTAAAAATATTTAATTTAAATTGAAATATTTAGTTGTCTTTTATAAATTTAAAAAATATTTTTTTCATAAAAAAATAAAATTAATTTAATGAAATATTAACATTTCACACAGAAAAAATTCAATAAGTTGAGTTCTTCTTACTAGAAAAATAATAACAATAGTAGATCTCAATAGATTTACACCCGAGGCCCCTGAGGTAACAATTATTTAAAAATTACTCTTTCTCAAGCGAGTAGAGATTAATAGTTACAAAAAATAAATAATCTTCTTTGACTGAAGGATTATTTATTTACCAAATAAAATTAATTGTTAATTTTTAGTTAGTTTTTATGAAGAAAAAATTATATTGCCAATAAATTGATTTCAATAAAAAAAATTTAAAACATTAAACAATTCACAAAAACGTATATTTATGTATTTGTATAAATGATATTTTACCAAAAATATGCATATACAACACCCAAATTCTATACTATTTAAAGGAATTGGGGCATATGCATACATATGTACAGTGAGGCACATGGTTTATATGTCAATGATTTTGAACTAAAATATTATCCAGCCAAAAGAAACATAACAACTACTGTCTATATGTACTTTCCCGACAAACATAT